GGCAGCAGCGAATTTCACACACGAGCCAAGGACAAGGGCTGAAGTGTTCCTCATACGAAGGGCAGTTTTTCCCCATGGAATTTTATGACTCTTAATGTGTCACTCAGTGACAGCTGACGAGCCATCTGATATTTTTGAGGCTGTGTTTTAGTTTGAAAAAATGAAAACTTTTGGATACAGGACAGTTTTTTATTCTATTGCTCTCTTATGAGAAAACCAGAAACAGAAGCATCATTAATTTTTCTTTCAACAAGGATGTGTCAAATTCTCTAATAGAAACTTTGACCGTGATCTTACATAAAGCCATTTCTATTCCTTCAGAGCACAAAGAATTTTTGAAGAAATGTAGGCAGAACATGGTGTTCAGACTCTAATTTTACTCACCTGCAAACTGTCTTCCATCATAACTTTATTTAAATCATGGCTATGCTGTTAATTAACAATTTAATTGGTTGGCGCTTTCTCAATCCAGTTCTCTGGAGGCATGGTTTTCTGTTTAACTTTCTTGTTTTAATTCTTCAGCAAAACCATAAAATTTAATTAGGAAAGTAACCAGCTTTGCAACAGCAGTTCTATGTCTAATTCAGCTATGCTTTGCCCGGACCTTCTCGGATTCCATTCAACTTTGCACATACATTTTGCATTTGTTCATGTTTCAGATAAGACACTGAATTTATAGCCTGAGCATGTAGTCCAATCACTTGTCACTTTCCCAAAGTTGCTTGGTTATAGCCAGTGAAATCAGAAAAATTAACTTAAAGCATTTGTACATGCTGTTAAACTAAGAGTCATCAAAGCCCAAGATGTAGGGTTGTTACCTTACTGTGTGTACTAGTTTTCTATTGCTGCAGAGCAAATTACCACTAACTCAGCAGCCATTTATCATCACACAGTCTGTAGGTCAGAAGTCCAGGCACATCTGGCTAGATTTTCTCTTCAGGGTCTCACTGGGCTAAGACCAAGGCACCACCTAGGCTGTGATTTCATCTGGACCTCAGGGTCATCTTCCAAGCACATATAGTTGTGGCAGAATTCAGTTGCCTGTGGTTGTAGGACTGACATCTCCATTTCCTATCAGCTGGGGATGGCTCTCACCTCCTAGATGCCCCTATCATTTCTTATCACATGTCTACGGAGAGAGTTCACAACAGAGTAGTTTGGTTTGTCTTTGAGACCATCAGGAGCACTTCTCTGACTTCATCTGCAAACAGCTGGAGAAAACTCTCTGCTGTCAAAGGGCTCATCTGATTAGGTCAGGCCCATCCAAGGTAATCTCCTTTCTGCCCATAATATAATCTGTCAAGGGAATCTGGCCCATCATATTCATAGGCTCCTCAAAGGAGGGATTATGCAAGGCTTGTACACCAGGGGGCAGAAATCTTGGGGCCACGTTAGAATTCTGCCTACTATACTTTGCTTTTGGGAAAGAAGGCAGCTAAAAGCTTCCTGGCAACCTCTCTCTCTTCCCTCGGAGGCAATGCACAAGGTGTGTGAGTTGTTGCTAACTACGGCCCCTATTCTGTCCCATCAGCTCCACGGGGCACAAGGTGACAGACAGTCGTATTCTTTCTTCTCTGCAGGCTGCTTTCTCTGCCGGGCCAGAATCGCTGCTTTCAGTAGTGTGAGTGGATGAAATCATTTGAATTTAAAGTGAAACCAAGTTAACATGATGCTTTTAGATAGAAATTTATTTAAGCTCAATGCCTCAAACTTTAGGCCAATGAAACCATTTCTTCAGGGAAAGGAAATGAAGACATATGCAGAAAAGAGTTAATTAGCAGGCCTGAACTGCTGTCTTTAGAAAAGCCTGTTTGCAAGATTGCCCCATGACTGGCCTCCGGGAACTTAGATTTCTGAAGGGTTCCCACACCCTAACTGGGAAGAGTGGCTTCCTGTGCCCAAACTGTTTGTGCAGATGATATAGTTCATGCTGAACATCTGCTCTCCTTCTGGGAGTCTGGAATTTTGGTATGTGCCAGGCAAAGGCAGTCTACGTGACTAGGCCCCAATAAAAACCCTGGCCACTGAGTCTATAATGAGCTTCCCTGGTAGACAATTTCACACGTGTTACCACCACTCTCTGCTGGGCGGATTAAGGACATCCTGTCTGACTCCCCTGGGAGGCACTTCTTGGAATCTTGTGCCTGGTTCCCTCCTGGACTTCACCCATGTGCCTTTTCTCTTTGCTAATTTTGCTTTGTGTCCTTTTGCTATAATAAATCATAGCTGTGAGCAGGACTATAGGTTGAGTAGGTCCTGCAAATCATCGAAGCTGGGGCTGGTATTGGTGACTCAAGGAATAAAAGTAAACGAGAGCATGAGAAGGCTCACACTGAGTCCAGGCTCCACTGCCCAGCAAACTCAGCCTTAATCCTCTCCATCATGCAGATTATCAGAGTAAACAGACCAGAAGCAAGCAGCAGGCCTCACCTTGGTTCCAGAGGGCCTGTGTTTCAATTCCTCACCATGACCCTAACCTCTGTCTGTCTCCCCCAGTTTCTGCATCTGTAACGTAGCGATACTAATAGTACCCATCTCATAGAATTGTTAAAATGAGGCAATTTATAGAAAGCACGTAGCACTCTGATGGGCACACAGGGACTAAGAGGGGCTGGACGTAATTCTCTGTGGACAGAATTGCTAGAGCATCGTCAACATTCTCATATGCATCTTCCTTGACTCATGATGGGATTACGTCCTGACTAACCCATTGTAAGTTGAAAATATCGTAAGTCAAAAATGTGTTTAATACTTCTACAGAACATCATAGCTCAGCCTAGCCCACCTTAAATGTGCTTAGAACACTTACATTAGCCTACAGTTGGGCAAAATCATCCAATACAAGCCTATTTTACAGTAAAGTGTTGAATCCCTCACGTAATGTATTGAATACTGTACTGAAAGTGAAAACTGAATGGCTGGTGGGTGCAGAATGGTTGTAAGTGTCTCGGTTGTCTACCCTTGTGATCTCGTGGCTGACCGGGAGCTGTGGCTCACTGCCGCTGCCCAGCATCGTGAAAGAGCATCATCCCACATATCGCTAGCCCAGGAAAAGATCAAAATGCAAAATTCCGAGTACAGTTTCTACTGAATGCGTATGGCTTTGACAACGTGGTAAAGTTGAAAAATTTTAAGTCAAACCATCGTTAGGTTGGGGACTGTATTAACTCCCTTTCTTTCCCTCACTCTGCTGCCCTCTTCCTCACCAGCCCCCTGTTCCTCCCTTCTCGAAGTTGTCCTCTAAGCTCCTTCACATCCAAACCATTTCCTCCCCCATCTTATTGCCTTTCCTTAAGACTAAATGAAAAAAATATGCAGGAATGTTTTTCTTTAAGTATATACAAAAAAGGGCACAGTATAAATGCTATCAGTGTCCGCAGTCCTATCCATGTTCAACATCTTTTATTCCATCTATTATGATTTACAAGAGTTTGTAAGTAACCCTCACTGTCCTCACTGATGTAATTTTATTGCTTTTGACAATGGTAAGTGATCATCACATATATAACCAGGCAATTTTATTTTCATAACTTTGAAAAGCATACCATGTCAATATATTCACAAAGTGGAAAAAAATCCTTCGACAAATCATTTTTCCAATATCTGGTTCAGAATATTTGTTCTGTGAGATACTCAACTCCAAGGTGTAAAGTGGCTATTTTCTTTTTCCAAGGGCATACCTAAAACACAATTTCAATGGAGATGGAAATTTCCACTTGAAACTTGCCTTGATCTTTGCAACTTTTGAGTCCCTGGTGGGCTGTTCAGATAGCATTCAGATATTGCTGCTGAAAAGGCTGTCATGAGGAGGCTGATCACACAAGACCAGAGGAAGGTTAATGTCAGTATCCAGAAGCAGAGATTCCTTTGTGGAGGAGAAGGGGTTTAGGAAATACCTGGTGAGACAGGCTTTCTGCTATTGGATAAAATCACAATTTGGGGATGAGTTCCTGCATCCTCACCTCGGGCCCTTGTAATGACACCAAGCTTAAACTCGACAGTGCATGTGTAGTGGCAAGGAATGAGGAGGAAGAAAGGAAATCGATGAACTAAAAGTTCAAAACTTCATTTGCAAATAAATGGAATATTTGAAGGGAAGATGTCAAAGAGAAAAATCAAACCAAAAATAAAAGACCAAAAGTTTGATATTTATAAATATCTCCAGAAGGCACTGAGTCTGTCCTTCCTCCCTTACCCACCTAACACCTTCTCCAGGTAGATTGTACTTCGGTCATGTAGGATACAGGTTTTTCTAGCTCCTTTTGTAGATTAGCGAGGCCTCTTTGCCATCCATTAAAATGAGCTAAACCACCACATATTTTATGGGTCAGCTTCAGTTTTTGGTAGGCATAGAAAAGAGCTCATCACTATACTTCTCATCACAACTCTTTAGCTAGAGCTAACGCTCAATTATATGCAGTAATGGGGAGATGTGAAACTAACTCTAACTCTAAAATCCATAAAATTCATCAAAGATTGAATAATCAGAGCCCTTCAACCTTTGCCAGCAAAATTCTCTTATCAGATTCACTGAAACATAGCAAAACTAATTAACTTGAATTTCTGGCTTTTATTTTCCTCAACTCACTTCTTCTTGAAGTTTTAATTAGAAGGAAAGTGTCGAGATGACCTGCAGGAAGATTTCAAGAAGGAAAAGTGAAATCCTGGAAAATTATAAACTAAATTCACTCATTCACTAAAAAAGACATTTACTGAGTTTCTATTCATGGAGAATATAGCAATGAACAGAAATAGACAAGCTCTCTCATGAAGCTTACATTCTACTAAGGGAGATGGAAAATAAATGAACTAGAAAATAGATAATGGGTCAGATATACAATAATATTTTGAGTAACCTTAACTATCTATTAAAAGCTCTTTCAAGTTTTGTCTTAGCATTTTCTTCCCTTGGCTAATTAATTCCAATTATTGAACTCCAGTCAGCAAAGCCCTGTAAACACATTATAAGCATACTGATAAGTGAGCGGACACTCTCTTACCTTGAGTTGGTGGTATATTTTCTTCAGTGCATATGCTTCCTCTTCTGTAGTGGGAATAAGTCTTATCACCTTATCACTGTAAGAAAGGAAAAAAAAAGTGATATTTACCTTTCAAAAAAAAAAAGATTTAGCCATCTCTATCTTCTTACCTTTTAAAAAACTGCCTCTGCATTTAAGAAGAAAAACAGCAAAACTTTGGACTGGCTCACAGCTATTTTATCCAATTCTTGTTATTCTCTGATTGCATTGGTCTTTTTTCCCTATCTTAAAACTATTTGTTTTTTCAACAGCTTTTGAAGACTACAAACTCGCACTTAAGCAGAGAAAGGCGAAAAACACAGGGACAGCGGCCACAGGGACAAGAACTTTCATGAATAGCTCAGAGTAGATACCAAGAAAGAAAATTCCTAATGACGGAAGCAAAAATAAAAGTTTTCTTCTTTTTTAGCTTAATGCCGAAAAGAATGTGACTTTCAATGAGAGGACAATGAAATCCATACACTGTGGAACATTTCTGGTTTGGCTTCTTCCCACACTGAGAACAGTCAAGATAAGCCTATCTGTATGGGCCATCTTATTTTTCTAGTATGCAGCTTCCCAACTGGCACGTGGGTCCAAACTGGAGGACCATCAATTGTTTACAGGTGTGCCATGAGATACTGATGGCTGTAAAATTTTTAAAGTGATAAAAATTTAAAATCAATTTTTACAGCCATTAAGATGTTCCCACACTTGAAATTATATTTGAATATTCTATAAGGTTCTTTCAGCAAAGATTCTGAATTGCCTAAGACAACTTGCGGTGTCACACTATCTGCCAGAGAGTTCTCTGCAGTGGTGACCTCTCCCACCAGGTGTGCCAGATGGGTATTACCATTTTCTAGTTAAGTCACAATGAGGACAGGTTGGGAAGCACACCTCCAGTATATAATAATCACAACGGCTCAATGTATTTTGCGTAGAGTAGATACTTATTAAATATTAACATGGATTCGCATAAAGGAGATCATTGAGAATAATTGACTTACAGAGGGAAACTAAGGAAGAACTAAATAAAGTGTAATAGGAATGAATATTTCTCATAACCCTGTATGGCATTTCATAATGACTGTGAGTAAAGTAGAATATTATTAGTACCATATATATAAAGCACAAAACAAAAACTCTAGTAGTTCACCCAAAATTTCTCTCTCCAGCCTCAAAGGGGTACCAAAATAGGGATGGAATTTGCATGCTTTCCCATGGTTTTACTACCTAGATGAAAGGCAGTTTCCAAGACCAGGTAAGATTCACATGGAGGGCACTAGACCCCAAGGAAGACTCTCAGATTTGTGGGACAATGATTCTTCAGGGCTGTCTGTGTGTGCATTTCCAACCACTTTAGCTTTGTTAATGATCTTGTTATACCTTCTTTAGGCCTGTCAATTACAACGCCCTTGGCTTGCTGCTGATAATTTAGCCTGCTTTAGACACTCTACCCTAACGTGGCTTTGGAGATTCAGTTCCTCAAAATCACACAAAACCACCTCTCAGTGTCACGAAGACCGTTTTTCTGAAAAGAATAAAAGAAAGTAGAGGGAGAGAAAAAAATCATCAAGTCCCTGTAAAACAACTCCAAAAATGACCTTTGGAACTTAAACGTAATTGCACCTTTTCTCTTTTTCATTTCTGGGACACGATTCTCTGACCCTTGTTTTTCCCAGATTCATCATATCCCAGCCTCTCCCACCTGACCCAATATAATTCTTGGCAGAGAAAGACAACTCTGCCGGGTGATACGGTTGTTTGCGAGCGATGGATCCCTTGACAGCTTGCTGACAAATACCTCCATCTGGGGCCCTGTCGGCTCCTCAGGAGTGCAAAGACAGCAATCTGTAGCTGTTTTACAGCCCTGGGATGTGTGTTTTTTTTTTTTTTTTTTAATTTTTAAATGACAGATAATTCACCCTGGCAATCGGTTCCTCTTCTGTGAGTGTAAGATAAAAGGGGACCACCCCTGGGATTATTTAACTCTGAAAGTGATTGCTCCAACCTAGCTTTGTCATTTTTATCACAAAAAGTTCACCGCATCCCAGCTTGTGGAAATTCTGAGGTGTGACTTGAGAAATGTGATTACTTATCAAAGAACAGAAAACAAGGAAAGCTATTTAGGGAAGCTCATGAACTGTTATATTTTTTGTAAACTAATAAATTATATTGGTAGACTAACCAGTAACCAAAAACCAACAAGGGCTCTTTATTCAGCATGTAAAACCAGATGCCCCCCAAATGCCCCATTTGTTTCACCACACAGAAAGCTTACTCTCCCTAGATCTGATAGCTAGTTTTTTTTTTTTTTTTTTTTTTGAAGTAGTGAACAATAACCTCCTACCACCAACAGGAAGTGAAGTAGCTCCTAGAATTTAGAGAGAAAAACTACTGGGCACAACTATCAGAGAAGGTGAATGAGAGGTTTCCTTCATAATTTATCTGTTTTTTCAACCGCTAGGTGGCAACATCCATTTAAGACCCCTTGGCTGCCCTTTGGGATTAAGATGAGAAAATCGAATGTCTGAATATGGGTTGAGGTTAGCGAGATGACTGGGCAACCAGCTGCTCATATGTACTTGTGTTTGTAAGCCAGATATTTCTAACTCGAGAGACTATATAAAGTTGTCAGAGAAACAGAGCACATGAATTTTTAATTACAGTTTAAGGATGTAGTACAGAGGCAGCTGGATATCCCAAATAACTAATTGCCCCGTAATCATTAATATGTATTAACTCATGATATATTCACATTTTGTCCCCTTGCCTTACAGGACAAATGAGGTTATGTTGCTATAATGCCAACATCAAATTTGGTTGTAAGTTTGACTACTAATCCTCATGCACAGCAGCAACCACACGAGTGAGACAATATTAAATACGTTTAATGAATTTGAAAGGTATTATTAGAGGTGTAATGAGAATGTATGCACCCAAAGAAGAGAATTCGGCAAGAGAACATCACCTCCAACTTTTTACAATCTCTCTGGGCCTCAGTTTCCTTGTTGAAGGAGTGAGAGAGGATCTCCCAGTCGCCTTTTCATTTTAAAGTTCTCAGATAGTGTTTGAGTTTGATGCCTTCCATATTCATCGCTGTGCCTTGACTTTGCAACAGCTATAGAAGAACACCTCTGTTTTATGGGCAACTTGAGTCCTCCTCAGCCTCCTTTTGAAAGACATAGATGTGAAGCTCCAGATTTTTCCTTCTGGCTCCTGGCATGACCTTTCATGATTATTTCCGTTATCATACTCTAAATTTCTTTGTAAGTTACAGAACCAGTTTATGAATCCATGCTTATAAAAATTAAATATTACAGATAATAAAGTTCCCCTCCCAGTTCTCTTGCAACCTCCAATCTTCCCCTAGTAGCTACTGTTAATAATTTGTGCTTCACTCCTGATTCTCTTCTTTGTATTTGCACGTGTACACAGTCACACGCAGCATTTTATAATATGAATTTGCTTTTATTTTTGACTCAATTATGTTAGCTTTAAAACACTATTTTTAAAATTTGCCTATATTCATAAGGAAGGCTTTTTTGAAAATAATTTTTTTGATACTTTTTTAATAAACTGGCTAAAAGCATAAACTTTTAGACTTTTTTAATAAACTTAAAATAAATGTTCATTTGGAATCACCCTTGTCTAATTTTGGCATCAGCATTATAGTAGCCTTATGGAATTAATTGGGAAATTTTCCATCTTTGTAATATGCTTTGACAACTTGACACAGGAATTACGTTTCTGATTGTTTTGTAGAATACACTCAAAATTTTTCAAGGTGGGACGAATTCTTCCGTTTTTTGGTCTTCAGGGGTTAGATATCTACCTTCTTTATTCTTTGGTGGATATTGATCTATTCAGTTTTCTGCTGGACTTTTTGAGTTAATTTTGGTAATTTACACTTCCAGGAAAACCATTCACTTATTTATATAAATTATATTAATATAAGCTATTAAAAATTAATTAAAATATCTTATGATTTAAAACATCTTTTATCTGTAGCTTTGTCCTCTTTCTATATCCTAACGTTGTGTTTTTAAAAAAAATTCCTTAATCAGACTTACCAAAGATTTGTTTAAAGAATCATTTTGTTTTTATTATGTTTATTTTTGTTTATGTATATCATTAATTTCTGCCTCTATCTTTATTAATATGTACTTTTTTCTTTAGATCTACTTTGTTATTTATGTTTTAATATGTAATATTCTCACTGATGTTCAGGACTAAAAGTTGGTAATTTCAGTTTTTAAAAAATTCAATTTATTTAAACTAAAAACAAAACCAATCAACCCATTTCTCCCATCTCTCATCATCTGCAACCACCAATCCTTTCTCTGTATCTACGAGCTTGGTTCTTTTTAGGTTCCATATAAAAGAGAGATCATATAGTATTTGTCTTCATCTCACTTACTTCACTTAGCATAATGCCTGCAAGATCCATCCATGTTGTCACAAATGGCAAGATTTTATTCTTTTTTATGGCTGAGTAACATTCCAATGTACAGTCCTGTGCAGCGTAAAGACGTTTCAGTCAACGATGGGCTATACATGACAGTGGTCCCATAAGCTTAGTACCATATAACCTATGGGAGTAGTAGGTTATACCATCTAGGTCTGTGTAAGTGCACTCTATGACGTTTGCAAGATGAAATTACCTCACGCTGTATTCCTCAGAAAGTATCCTCGTCCTTAAGCAACCCATGACTGTATATATATACCACAACTTCAACTTATTTATTCATCCATTGATGGACACTTAGGTTGTTTCCATATCGTGGCTATTGTAAATAATGGTGTAATGAACATGGGGGTGCATATATATTTTTGAGTTAGTGTTTTCATTTTCTTTGGATAAGTCCCTAGAAGTGGAATTGCTGGATCGTGTGGTAGTTCTAGTTCTAATTTTTTGAGGACACTCCACACTGCTTTCCACAGTGGCTGCACCAATTTACTTTCCTACCAACAGTGCACACAGGTTCCCTTTTCCTCACATCCTTGCCAACATTTGTTATCTCTTGTTTTTTTTGTGATAGCCATTCTAACAGG